GCAAGGCAAGGCAAGGCAAGACTGGGCTTTGTTGCAGAAGTGTATCCCCCTTCCCTGGTTTGAGTTGTGAGCCGCCCTGAGTCCCCTTCAGGGGAAAAGGGCGGCATATAAATATAATAAACTAAACTAAACTAAATTAATAGCCCACCTCATTCTATAAACTTAGAGAAAGATTTGATATCTTTGAGGAAGTATGTTGTGGGCTTCTTAGTGCTCTCTGAGCTTGGAAACAACAAAGCTCAGAGAGCACCAAGGACATCACAGTTTAGCCCTGAGCTACAACAATTCTCTTTCATTGGTGGAAATTACTTTCTTAGATCTTAGGATTGGTTGATAATTAAAACTGGTGTCCTCATGGCTTCAGAAAAACAGCTCATCTTTTAGTTGAAATGCTTACAAATAGAGATGATTTCCTTCCATACCCTTTATGAATCAGCTACTCTGTTTTGAATCCAGTACATACAAGAGTAATATGTACTGCATTCTTCCCCTCTTCAGAAAATGTAATATCTTAGACATGTGCAGTCAGAAAATTGAACAAGCCACATAATTGGAGATGTAATTGTCAGACTGTAATTGTTTACTTTTTTAATATTGAATGCTGATGTGATAGAATATTAGGTTTTCTTTGTTATGAATTCACCTGAATTGGAGAGGGAGAGTTTGTTTGCTTCCCTCCCACTCCCAAAGTAGCGTTAATATGGTCTGTTGAATAATTAGAATCTGTTTCCAGCAGCTTTATTTAATAGCCATTGCTACTATAATTTGGCCGAGGTTTTATACATTTTTGCAAGATCCAATAAAACTTAAAAATAAGTTCTCAAAATTCCACAGTGAATGTTCTTGATGAAAGGGGAGAATAAAAATCTTTGTCTATATATTGGCCAATTTTCAGACAGATTGTTTTCCTACTCTTGAACAATTTGGATAAAACCTGGGGAGTCAAAAATTGCAAAGAATTGCAATTCTTTTTTAGCTTCTTCTATTTGGAAAAATGGCAGTGCCAATCATGGTTTGCTTTTGAAGTTTGATTTTTAAGAAAGGAATTGTTTCACTTGATTTGATGCAATATCTGGAGGGTGAGGAAGTATGGTCCACTGCACTTGTTTATTGCACTGCACCTGCATTTTTGTTCCTACCCTTCCTTCTAGCACTGAAGATGTGACTTAGTTGGATAGTGAAATGTCTGCAAGAAAACAACGAAGCTTAGAAAGCACCAGGACTCCACACTCTGAGATGTGCTAGCGCTCCCATTTCATTTTACCTAATAAGTTTAGTTTAAACTCATTATTTACCACCTGTAGGAAATGACCAGGCTGAACCCGAGGGAGGGTCAAACGTGTCATAAGTCATGGGTCCCTGTGTGCCTGCAAGAGATCTAAGTCCAGGCCATCTTGAATTCCTTTCTTAACTCCCACATATTCCTTAATGGTCACTTGGCCAGGTTCTTATAGAGAGCTGAGCTTACAATAAATCTTTATACTCATTTGAACTGCCTGAATTTCCTGATTTCCCCAGCACTTGACACCACCTTGTTTATTAGATTTATATCTTGCCTTTTTTACAGACATTGAAGAAAACCTAAATAGCATTCTCTCTGGTTTTCTCCAAAGTAACCATATTGCAAAGCAGGTTGGGCTGAAAAGGAATGACTGGACCAAGGTCATTCAGAGGACTTCTGTCACTGAGGGTGGACCAGAACCTGGTTTCTAGTGCCAGTCCACCCTGGCTGAATGGACTTTGGAAGAACTGCAGTACTTGCCCATTTGAGTTAAAAAATTATATCATTTAATACTTCAGTACCTTAATTGTTTTCCTAGTTTACATGAAAGATTTGTCTGGAAGTACATTTTTTATATCGGTGTTTTGATATCCATCTCACCATTTAAACTTCATGACCTTCCAGTTGGCAATGTAAAATTATTTCCTGGGTGGGCTCCATCTTTCATCATAATAATTGCTTTATGGCTCTAAAAGCATAGCTTTCTCTACTTCCAGCAGCTGACAAAACTGTTCTCTTTCACATATTTCACCACTGTTTGTGCTTAATCAGATTGATCTTGCCAGAGGTTAGTTCAAGCACTGGGGTGACTCACAAGAATCAGAAGGTTAGAAATAAATTTATGGGGAAAACCAACTGCTCCACTAACTTTTAAGAACAGTGGAAACAATTTTGTGAACAGTATCTACTGTAAAATCATTTATTTTGGGAAATTCCCACAGTGTTTTAGATGTTGAGTGCTACAGAAATGTAATTAAATGAATACAGTTTTTAAATTACTTATTTTAATAGTTTCAATTGAAGTGTTAATTTTGCTTTAATGGCTTGTTAGTGTCTTTTCAAGCAGTATCTGAGCATGTTGCATTTTGGGCTATCTTTTCCAGTCTCCTGTTTTAGTCAGCATCTCACCAAGGAGAGACAGAGGTGTTTGGAAATTCAGGCAAGATTAGTGATGAATCTGGCAGTTTGATACTTTTCATTTGCTTGATAGGAACTTTTCCCTTTTTTATACTATACTAGTAACCTAATCCAAGCTATGCTTAATTGAAATCTATAAAGTATAATTTAACAAGAATGTAGGGTCTTCCCTAAGTCACAGTAGTTTTCAGATTTATTGGAAAGAGCATTTAAAGTTTTTTTTTTAAATAAGAGTTAAAATGCATGGAGTGTAAGGATATCAAAAGCTACTATCATTGGTAACAGAGTGGTATTTCCATGTTTACTTATTTTTTAAAAAAAATTAAAATTTGCTTTTACGGCCTCTTTTGGCTTTCTTGGCTTCATGTGACTTGCCTCAGTGTAAAAAAGTGGTTTGGAGCACTGAACTGGTCCAGCAGGATGAGCTTACTAAGCTGCCAACTATGAAAAGGAATGATGAAAGCCAAAGGGTTAAATTATAATTTGAGTTATTTTCAAAAATGTTCAGTTTCATTTACCTTTTACCTTCGCATTTTTTATTAATATTTAGGGTCGCAAGCTCTTGATTGTTGGGACTACTAGTCGCAAAGATGTCCTGCAGGAGATGGAGATGCTGGATGCGTTTAGCACTACTATCCATATTCCCAACATTGCTAATGGTGATCATCTCATGGAGGCCCTGGAGGTGAGGAGATCACTAGTGTGCCCTGGAGGAAGAAATCTGAAAAAAGAATCGAATTTCTTCAGAGTGTCAGACAAATTGAGTCTGTGAATCTTTTGAAATTATTTTGTTATCCTTAATAGGTAGCCCATACCAGGAAATCTGCTTTACAAGAATGCTGAAGCTACTGGTATTAAGATTGGCTATGTTCTGCATCACCCACTACTTTGTGAATTAGGGAGTTGTCTGTCTGAGCCACTTCGGAATATTATCTAGCAGTTTTAGATTTCCTCCCTTTTAGCCTAGCCAACAGATCTTGCATATCTTTGTCAAGGCCATCTTTCTACAACAATATTTAGGAGTGAAAATATAACTTTATCTTGGAAAAACAGAACTTTATCTTGGAATGAAGAGTAGAAGTGGCAATAAATATTTCTTCTGCCCATGATTGAGAAATAATTGCCATCTAAAATACATGAACAATTACAATCTGAAATGAAAATATTTCCGTAGGAAAGATTTACCAGTAGTTAAGTTTCCTTGTCCAAAAATACTACTTGTCTGCAGATCATTATTTTAAAAGGTCCTATAATGTCCACATTTATTTGTTTAAACAGTGAAGGCTGCTTCTATGCAGTTTTATACAGCTATTCCTTTAGAGGCAAGATTCTAGAAGATTCTTGATTTTGAAGATTTTAGAATTAATGAAATTGCATTGTATACATATTTAATTTACAGCTGCTGTTTTGTAATTAACATCTCTTGAATTATGTAATTTGCAGTAGAGATAATTACCCATCCCAGATACTGATGGTTTTATATAAACTGAAATTGTTGAAAACAATCTTTGAACTAATGTTTAATTATATCAACTTATTGCAACATTTACAATTAACATTAGTATTTCCATTTAAATTAAGATTTCTGTTTATGTTATCAATATTGTAGAGTTCTTAGTAGCTGGATTTACTAATTGCAGTGAAGTGACAGTTAAATTTGTTATTAATCCCAATTGATTTTAGAAGTTACTGACTGTGACAGTCTTAAGTTGTTCACAACCTGTTAGTTAAAATTAACAACATTTCAAAAGAGACATTGCTTCCTCTTACATTTTGTAGGAAGAAATCTCTTCTAAATCTTATGGTATTGTGTCATGTTTATACAAATGCCTGAAATAATAGAATAAGGTGAAGAAGACAACAGTGCCCATGTCCACACCTCGCTTTTAATTTGATCTGCTTCTGTCTGGAGCAGAAATTTGAACATCAATAGAACTCATAATTTCTACCTTTCGAGTAGTTAATATAAAAAATCCTGCTGTATAAGAAGAAAATGGAGTCCAGAGTTAACCAGATCCCATCCATTCCCTTGACTCGGCTTTCCTTATAACCTAGGTAACTTTCTTTTTCCAACTTCTAGCTCCTGAGTGTCTTCAAAGACAAGGAACGCAGCACTATCGCTCAGAACGTCAAAGGGAAGGAGGTCTGGATTGGCATCAAGAAACTGCTGATGTTAATTGAGATGTCAATGCAGGTAAAATGCTTTTGCCCTTAGATCAAGTCAAGAAAATAAAAGATGTGGCTCTCCAGAACTTCATTGGTTTGTAGTTAAGGATTCCTTATCATTTTTTTATGTCGCCTACAGTTGGCAAGAGCAGAAAAACATATTTGGAGGGCCACATCTGGCCCATCTCTGAACTAGACATATGGGTTGCTTGGCCCCTGCTCAAGCCAGGATATTTTTTTAAAAGGCACTGGGCATTGGGAAAAATAAGGCTTTTAACAAAGGTTAACCCTGTATTGAAATATTTTGTTTTTCTTCACAAAGTAGAATGTAACTTGATTACAGTGGGGCAGAAGTTAGCAATTTCCACTTAGCAGAGAAGGAACTTCTTTGCATAGACTCTCTTGTAAAGGCTCCCTTGTAAACATTTTACAACTATTCATTCTCTAACCAAGGGCCCTCCAAATTTAATGGGACTCATTTCCAGAGGATAGGAAGCTTCAATAAATTGTTGCATCTGTCATGCAAAAGGGAAAAATGTGTTTAAATCATTTTCCCTCTCATATATTAGGAAGCAAAACTTTAGGGATCTAGTTTCTACTAGAGTTTGACATTGATTTTATCATTCACATTTGCTATATAAAACTACAGGTGTTTAGAAGTTATATATCTGAATCAACATAGTTTTTTAAATTAATTTCATGCCATCTAGATTATTAGTGGCCACCTAAAATAATTCTCCACAGGCGACTAGTGAATTATTTTGTAAAATGATGGCTTAACAATTTATGCAAAAGAAGCTAGTGAAATCCGATCACCTGCCAAAGGCTATAGTCCATGAACCTAGTTAAAGTTTACATGTCTTAGCTTCGGTATAATTGTGCCAGTCAAATGAAAATGGAGGTCAGATATGCATTAATAACTGAGATGCATATGGGCAATTTTATACCTCTCTAGGACTGATGCCTGCTAATCAGCTGGTGTAACTATAAATGAAGACCTTTTTACCTCTTTTTCGGACAGCTTTTAAGTATAAGGCAAGAAATATGCAATTCGTCACTGTGTTATAACGCTTCCCCACTCCCTTCTGAGTGACTTGTTCTTTGCAATTCTGTTGAAACTTGTATAAGGCTTGGGATCTGCTTTGACTGGATGTCACCTGAGGGTACGAAGTCATTTATCTAGATTACTTTTTCCTCTCTTTCCCTTGTCTCTTTATTTTCATAGCTATAGGCAAAAGTCAGTAACTTATTGCTCACACCTATTAAAGTGTAATAGGCAGAGACCTGTACCATTTGACTCTGGCCTGGTGATGTCCAATTTCACTCTTTTTATTGCCTTAAGAAGATCCCTCTTACTGATCCTGCATTTTAGTACCTTGAATTCATATGATTTAATATTCAAAGGGAAAGAGCTACAGAATGGAATGATGAAGAAAAGATTGTGTTGTGTTCCCTCTTTCCTTTCTAGTTAACAAGGGAATAGGGGCTGAATCATGGAAGACAGTTTATTTGATATATTTTTTGTCATCCTATCATTCTTATCCTTTTATTAGACATATTCCTTAGCATTTGAAATTAGATTTGAAATGAGGCAAAAATAGAATAGTAGATCTGCAATCATGAATATAGCATGTTTTTCAGCAGGCTCTTTTGTTTAAGAAAGATCAATGTTCATTTTGTCTTTTGCCAATGGCCAAAAAACATGGGGAGCAAATAGAAGCTGTAAAATTGACACAACTTTCCAATCCATGGGAGGAACCTGTAGGCATTAACAGGAAGGACTAGCCTGGTGTGTTTACCCTTAATCCTTATTATAGCTTAGTATGTTATAGGAACATGTTCATTGCCTGCTGAAAACTATTTTAGCAACTGCAAAGATCTGCATGGTTTAATATTTCAGCATGCAGTTCTTTTTTGTAAATTTTTGGGCTGAATGCAGGAATTACAGAATGGTCATATATCTGCTTAGCTTTCTTTTTTTCTGACAATATTGGATTAGTACTTTTGAAGTCAGGCACTGTTTCCCAACATCAAATTGGGAATGAGGTGAATAGAAGCAGAAAGGCTAGATGCACTATCTTTGGTTCTTTAGTTTAAAAAAAAAACATATTAACTGTGATAAAATTTTTTGGGGGGGGTCTATTTGATACTGCCTCTCTTAACTTTCCTTTTGTTCATTGAATTTGTTGTGATTAACTGGAATGTGTGTGTGTATGTGTATGTGTGTTAACTATGTGTGTTAACTATGTAATTTATGAAGATGGATCCTGAGTACCGTGTGAGAAAATTCCTGGCACTTCTACGAGAGGAAGGAGCGTAAGTAATAAAATAACTGTTAGGAATGTGCTTACCTAATCTGCATGCATACTTAAGAACTATTTATTGCTGGCCAGATAGGGATTTTGTGGGAGTTTGCTTTGTAAATTTTGTTTTATAAAAACATTTGTTGTAATTCATGACAGCTGTTGAACTATTCCACCCCCAAATCAGCCTGTTCCATTGTTTAGGGCTTGACACACTGTTGTGTTGACAGCTGATATTGCTATATAAATGCATATACGTGTGTGTGTGTGTGTATGTATTAAAGGAGATGGAGCTTTTAATCTCTCAAGCATGCATATAAGCCATGCTTTGTGTTTCTCAAAGTCATATGCATAAATATTTCAGGACTGACTTTGATGACTTAGTTATGTTACATACTTTTCCCTGTTCTACAATCCCAACTCACACATTGGTTTATATTCTAGTTCCAGGCCACTTTCTGTCACCAACAGATTCAAACTCAATGCTTCATGCTCAAAAATGTTTCTACCCTAAATTTTCTTCTGGCTTTTACCTTTTCAGATTCTCTGAATATATAAAACTAGCACATCAAGGAGCAAGCAAAGCTAACACTTTGACTCCATGACATGCTGGCTTCGAGTAGAGGGAGTTTTTGGTGAATGAAAATTTACAGTAATGTGTGTTCTCCTTACATATGTATTTATTTGCCCACGTAAAACCATAATAACTCAAAAGATAGTATTAGAGATATTTTTAGATGTTGATACCATTTTTCTTCTAGTTAGATCTATTCAGGTCTAATAGGAAGGATAGTGCATCGTTTGTGTTCACAAGTCTATTATGTAATCCTTTCATAACTTCCAGAACAGGGACTGGGCCAGTACATTAAAATGCTACTTCATTCATTAGTAAATGAGCTCCAAATGATCCCTGTTCAGGTGGCCACCTAATGCTGGGATGAAGTAGAATTCACTTCTTTAACCAGCATGTTAGGAAAAGAGTTTCTAGCTTTGCCATTTTCCCACATTCTGTCTTAATGCAGTCAGAGTACAACCTTCTTTTTTTTGCAGCTGTTGAGAGTAATATCTGGGGCACAACTGGCCTGTGAATTTGCATGCAGTTTCCCTTTTTGGATGACCATCTCTGTGTGCCACCACCCATTCCCCAAGACCTGCCTATCCTTGTGGCTGTTGCACTCTCTCTCTTTGCAGTAGTCCACTGGATTTAGAATGAAGCTTAAACCTTGTTAAAGGCTGGTGACCTGGAAAACAGCCAAGCAGAAGACTGCTTCTCTGGGACCTTCTTCCATGTGGCACATTTGGACAACTGCATAATGCTTGGTTCTCTTCAGAGATTCTCCTCAACTTTTTTTCTTTTGCATGTTAGACACAATTAAGTACTTTACCTTTGTCTTTGATATCCTGCTGTATTGTGACAAATCAAACTTATTCTAGAATAACTGCTTTGGTGTTATGCACCCACTTGATTGATATCGGTGCACAAGCAAAGGAGTGGAAATGCACCATGTACAGACCTACAGACATTAATGTTGAAACTCAGGCATAAAACATGGGGAAATCCCTCCATTCTTAGCTTACATCAATCCAGTGTGAAAGCTGGTAACAGTCTGCATGATTATAAATTCTTGGTGATAATTTTTTCCCACTCCAATCTTGTTAAATAGCTGCTTGTTCTTGTAGATTTGTCCCACATTGTGGGGTTTCAGACTCCTCTCAAGAAAAAAAAATGTGGTGTAAAGTGCTGCCTCTAGTTTCAGATGAATTAAGATCCAAGGGCTGCTTTCTATCTAGATTTTAGGCAAGATTAACTGCTGGCCTGCAAGCACATATCAGCATTTGCAGTGGCTCAGCTAGTTGAGGTCCAATATAATTTGATCACCAGCTACAGAAGCAGCAGCAGAGCATCTGACATACTTAAACTACGAACAGGCAACAAACTGCCCTTGATTGCCATAACATTTTCAGAACATTCTTCTTTCTTTTGTCACATTAGCCCTTACCTGCTACAATCTGTCTCCTTTATGAAAATGTTGCACAGAATTATTTTTAAGAGATCTGTCAAGTGTGTAGGTGTAAGATGTTGAGCTTATACTGTATCTACTTTCCTTCCTCTGCCACTTAGCAAGTAGTTTATTGATACTTCAGTCACATGTCCAGCAATTAATCTCAGTTACTGTGCTTGCTCTTGTCTGCTGTTGGCCTCATATTTTGTATAGTAGAAACTAGGGAAAAGCCTAATTTGCCTTTTCCAGAAGTGTTTTCCTGTGATTTTTGGTGTGCAATGCAATATTGAATCAGTGAGAGTAATAGGCTGCTATTTATAATGCTCTATCACTTATTTCTTACCATTCCATCCTTTAGGGAAAGCACACTGATCAACATCCTAAAGAATGTAGTAGCTACTTAAACTGGAGCAAGTTAGCCACCTATTCCTAGTACTAATTATAACACATCCATTCCTATCATACTAAGGAGTTTGTTTGCAACTCTCGTCAAAGGGAGTTTGCCTAGTAGTATAGGGAGTGATGAACTAGAGCAGGAGTGGGATGCAGCTGAGTTTAAGGTCTTCTAAATAGGTAGAAAGGGAAGGAAACTAAATGCACAGCTGCCATTCCTTCTTACAGCGAAGCATTTATTGGCCCTTAAGCTCTTTTAAGAAAAAGTTCATTGCATGGCCCTAAAATGTAACCCATTCACTCATAATTAACAAATGGGCTATTCCATTATTGGCATGGTTCCCTTTCCTTGTTTCTTCAAGTTGCTAAATTTAGAAGAATAAAAACAATACTTGACAACTTCCAATTCTGTGCTGTAAAAGACAGACCTGCAGTATTAGAAACTCTTGCAGGGTACCTGAATTATAATGGATATTTATTTTACTGTGGATTAGCATTGTCTTGGATTTATATTTATTGATTTTTCTGCCATGAACGATAATGTGTGAATGACAGTGGACATGTAAGACTCCCATGTTTTGTAGGTGATATGATTGGACTGCTTTTAGGTGAACTTTGCTGTTCTCCCAAACCTCCACCCCCCCTCCCGTTTCCCTTCATTTTTCACTGAAAGCAAAGCATACATATTGTATTGTCTTGATCAAATAATATAAACATTTTTATTGTTGTTTTTTTTGTCCAAAGCTATAGAGAAAGAAAAATACATATATATATATATTTGTATTATATATATATATAAAGATTGATTGTATGTTAAAATGCAGGATGCAATAAAAAGGCACAGATGTTTAAAATGTATTGATGATTTCTGAGTTGAAATGACGGGATGAGTAAATTAGTTCTCCTGAAAGATCTGCAAAAAATGCTCATTTCAAAGGAACAAGGTTTCTCCACCAATCACTGACTATTACATATTAAAGGATACATTTAACCTGTGATAGAGTTGGGAGAGAACAAATTTTTTTACCAAGCTTAACGTCTGGCCAAAATTGACTGGGCCTCACTAGACTGGGGGGTATGCTTTCAGGGCTACGTTTACTGAGATACAAAAGTTAGGGATTAGGGTTAGCTAAGAGCAAACGTGAAATACCTATCTAAAATTTGGGCCAATACTGAAGTCCTGGTATCTCTACTATATATAATTGCTGAAATTCTTAGCATTAAGAAGAATGGAAAGCAGTTATACTTAAATTGCAAAAAAAAAAAAAAATGATTGCAATTTTGTTCTGCTGTACGTGGATTCCAACTGCATTTTCTCAGATCTCTTTTTATAACCCAGAAAAATTACAGTCTTTAAAAATCATAGGCAGCAACACTTCCTTTACATAATAGTTGATTACGTCCACACCTTCCACAGGAACAGCATGAAAATATTAAAAATATTGTTTTAAGTGCCTGTGTACCTTTACTGACATGAAAACCAAGGAAAAGATGAAATATTTTTCTTCAAATATATCTATATATTTATATAATATATAATCTTAGTTAACTCAAAGGTATATACATTGTATAATAAATAATTATAAAAACAGCATTTTTAGAATACAACTTAAAAAAAGATGAATACCCTCTAGAACTGCTTTGTCCCCTGGTGTTCTCCTAGATGTCTTTGATAGCTCTCATCTTCGCTGATCTATTAAAATGAGCTGTTTAAAGATTCTGCGAGTTGTGATCCAACTCTTTTAAAGGAACACCAGGTTGTGGGAAATGTCTTCTGCTTAATAAAGAATTTTGGATGCAGCAGGTTGAGGGCAAAGGAAACAGATAGATTGTGAGGCTTTCTTTCATATAACTATATATCCCCTTTTAAATCTAGAATATCTACATAGCAAGAAAAAAATGGCAAAGCCACTGTAGTCTAATAAGGAGTATATACTTTTTGAAGCAACTTCCTTACTTTTAAGTCAGTTTTCAATGTGACAGCAAGCATACATTCTAAATGTGGCAAAAAATATGGAAAATATTTCTCTTGAAATGTAGCAAGTGCATTTTCAAACCAATTTTCAATGTTTCCTGAATGATGCTTAGAACTTATTGGAATGCATATTTCTACTCCTCTTCTACAAATGCTTAAAATTAGAGGTTTCTTAAACCCATTGAAGTTAGATCATGCAACTCACTGAATTTGGCTGATCTCAAAAAAAATAAGCAGAATTGGATCTGATTAGTACTTGGATAGGAATTACCAGAAAATATTACTGCTGGAAGTTAAATTTAGAAGCTTAAAAAAATTCTGGGAAACAGCAGTGACAAATTATTTCTCTAATTATTTTTATTAATAGCTCACCAATATTTTTTTTAAATAACTCAAGGTGGCAAGCATACCTAGTATTCCTTTCTCCTCAAAGGTTACATTTTAAGTTATTCTAAGAGATTAAAAGCAGGCTGAGTTGATCATAAGCTTGTTCCTGTTTTTCTAGTAGAACATATTTCTATTTGAGGATAGAATATTTTAACTATGTTCAGTGATGTCAAAACTGACTAACAGTAGTTACTCTGCTCAGGGTTTGAATTTTGTTAACTTATTAATTAATATGAATGTTGGTTAACATTAATTTATCTTTATACTATCATTATAAGTGGGATTATTAGAAAAAATACTTTTTGTTTTCTTATTTTATTTTTGCAAGCAAGGATCAAATTAGACAGAAAGATTCTCTATGATAGATGTGCAGCAAGTTATGCTAATAGTGAAAAAATGGAAAAGGTTTTATTAAGTGGATGATAAGGCTGTAGATAAACATTATATTTCTTTTGGCTGATAGTGGTTAGCTAAACAATATAGTACAGGTAACACACTGTAGGGAATGGTTTGGCAAATAAAGCCAGTTGAGTGAATTTATCAGCATGACTTAGCGTCACATAAGATTAGTTAGACCATCTTTACCCACAGTGTATGCTATATCAAAAAAATGGGAAAAAAGGTTCAGTACTAATCCATTCCAAGAATTAAATTCTCATATCTCTGCGATACAAAGTGGGACATTTTGAGAAGGCTTAAGAAAACAGCATTATGCACAAGGGAGTGTAAATGGCAAATTCCAATGAAGCAAGGATCTACATTAGTTTGGACCAGAAGAAAAGAAACTGTAATATGAAGCAGATGTTAATTACATATCTCAAATATTTTGGAGCACCTTATAAGTAGAAAATCTATTCTTGTTAGCAACAATCATCCTCAGCTTTTCCAGTTGAGTTCAAATCATCAATTCAACTTTAGGTGGGTTGACTTAGTGGTACCACTGCAGTATTTTGGAAGGAGCCAGAAGCAAAATTATGTGTTTGAGAAAAATAAAAATAGAAAACTTAAAATTATTAAAATTTCAGGGGGGAGCATCATTTTAAGAAAAATATTCTGAAGTCAGCAGCAGCAACTTAAATCTATTCAGTGGGAAAGGAGGAGTATTGATGGGAGGGGCAGATACCTTAGCTAACGTAGGAAGTCTCATGTCTCTATGTAAAGAAATTAGAACACTCCAAAATAAGATAGTTAATAGTATCCTCTAAGTCAGTGTTTTTCAACCTTTTTTGTGCAAAGGCACACTTTTTTCATGAAAAAAATCACGAGGCACACCACCATTAGAAAATGTTAAAAAATTTTAACTCTGTGTCTATATTGACTATATATAAAGTGTTTTTTCCACGGCACACCTTACACTATGTCACGGCACACTAGTGTGCCGCGGCACAGTGGTTGAAAAACACTGCTCTAAGTATCCAGAAATATGTAGGTCTGAAAATAAAGGTAGAAGGGGAAGAAGTATCAACATTGTCTGAGTATGTTTATTGTTCTCCAGGAACCTTGACATCTTAAGTGTCTGTGGAGACACTTAAATGAAGAGAGAGAATTGCTCACTTGAATCATTGGAGGGAGAAGCAAGAATAATTATTAGCTTTGTTGGTTAAAACAGAACAAAAAGAACATGCCCCAATGGATTGGTTGCCAATCTTAACTCTTTCTTCTATTAATTCAGTCTAACTCAGCATTTTCAAGCAGGTTTAGCTAGAAATTTAAATTTTGAAGAAGGAGCTGGCTGCTGGTATTTCAGAGGCTCACTTTCTCTTCCTCTAGTCTAAGGGTGTCAAATTCGCATTGTCGTGGTGGTGTCACATGACGTATTGTGACTTTTCCCTTCGCTAAACAGCATGGGCATGGCCATCACATGTCGTATCCAGCCTGACACCCCTGCTGTAATTTCTATTTATGTGTTCTGGGACTCTAATTGAAAGTGTGGGGGTATGCATACTATATATGTTTGTGTATGTTAAACATGATGTGTGTTTCTGTGTGATGGATCATTGTTGGTCAAAAGACTAAAAGTTGTACTAAGCAAAAACTTGGTCAGTTGAAAAAAAATGAAATGCTGTCACTCTAAGATTTCAGCTCCAAAATCCAAGCTATGTTGCAGATTTAAAAAAAACAACACATGATTATAGGGCAGGGTATGAATGTGGACATGGAGGGAAAATTAAATTATTCATAAAATAACTGCACTTGATGAAGTGTTTAGGAAAAACAACCTGCTATCATTTGAGTTTGTTCCTTTCACATTTTTTTGAGCCTGGCTCTTCCTCCTCTGCATTTTGAACATCATTTACTACCATGAATAGTTACAATGAGTGTCTGTCACAGTTGCAACACCTTTACTCCTTTCATAGGGATTTTTAAACAAATATATTCTCATATGTGCAAAACAAATAACCTTTAAATATTGGGAACATTACCTCAGGAACTTCAGAGCTCATTGTCAGCCGCCATAATGCAACCTGTTCAAGAAGAAATGCAGATGTTGCTAAGTAAGCTATCTGAAGAAGTCCGGTTGGATTGTTTTCAAGGAGATTATTTCATCGTTGCCTGCCTTAGTTGAGAAGGAAGCTGGGCATGCTATCTTTTTTTCTTCTCCATTATCCTGAGTCAGGAACTTTAACTACCATGTTTCCAGGCAGTCACTCACTTTATCCTCCAGCAATACCATAGAGCTATTTCCTCAGAAAATTAATAAGCAAATGGTATGAATAATTACATTTTTTTTGTTGTGACATGAACTTTCCAATTCTTTCCTAAACTAAATTGTGCTTCTCTTATCTCTGAATGGATTCGGTTTTCTTTAAGTTAGTAACCTTCACAAGGTGAGATAGAAATAGAATTCCCTTTGGGAGGAACAGGTTAGTCTGTTGATTGACCCTATACTTCCATAGTTGAACTAGCCCATTGACCCTTGATTTTTTTTTAACAACTTTGCATTCAATCCAATTGTGTCCTATTTTGTTAACAGCATTTCACTTTGAATGGAAGCAACGCATTGCATTTGCAAGCATATTCGTTCATTCAAATTTTCTCTAATAATCTGTGCTGTGTTGATCCAAAATAAAAAAAATTATGTTAAAATGCTTATTATGAGAAGCTACATAGCATAAAATGGAAGGTATTCAAGTTCTTCAGAGAACTTGATTTATTATTTGAGTTTGATTTATGACTTACATATTTAATAAGCCTCCACTTTCTAACTGAAGTCATGAAAGAAATGGTTTATAGTCAATTTGCTATTTATATCTCCTCCAAAAATCTGGAAATTGAATAGTGATAGGACCCCAATTTTGATAGCTCTGCCATGTAGAAGAATAGCTTTCTGTGTTTTCCATTTGCTCATAATTCAGTTTCCCCCAACAATGGTGAGTTCCAGACATAAAAGTTCCAAGAAGCATGAGTACGCAATTGAAATTATGGGCCTTATCTTCAGCACATCTGAAAGGTAGTAAGGGCTGAGAAAGCTGTTGTATCTGTATTAATGACAATCTAATTAAGAAGTGTTTATATCTGGAATGTGTTTTCCTAAATAATTTTTTTTTCAGTACTCACAGAATTATTTCTTTCTGTATTTCACACACCACCTTATTTGTTCTCCCCGTATGATTCAGCCTCTTATGTTTTGTTTACTGTCCTGTTGAATGCTAGTCTCTGTTCTTAAGAGTTATTCGGATAGTGACATATCCATATCCAGTGTCTTCTGTCATCTGCTGAGTAACTATCCTAGGAAGATCACATTGGGGACCCCACTTTGCATACTTGTGTATAAGAAATAGTAGCTAATGCCAAAAACATTGGGAAGGAAGTCTTCTAGCTTAGGGAAAGTTCTAAATTCATTGCATTAAAATTCATGCAAGATTTTGTTTAATAATGAGTGCTCTTACAGAGCATTTTGTATTTCCTGAGCATTTTAGATAATGATAGCACAGGAGTCTTCACAAATGTTTCAGGTGTGAGGCATGTCCACACTGCCTGTTATTTAAGATTGCTTAGGATGGAGGTGAACTTTAAACTGACTTTCCCTCTCAAACTCTTTAGCTACTTTTGCAACAACAACAAAATACCTATTTTGCTCTAGGTAGTCCTTTACCCCACACATACCTTTTTTTATTTGCAGGTATGAACATCATAAACACGAATGCATTCCTGGCAGCTGACATAACAGCACCAGTGGAAGATGCAATGGCATTTCTCTTTCCTTTTCTCTGTCCTAGTGTTATGGCCACGGCCACAGCAGAGCAAATCACACCCATCAATCCCATGTGAGGTCACATTGCACATCCTGTCCCTTGTACCAAATGACCCAGTCTCAGGGTTGGGTTCACAAAAATTGGGTGAGTTCTCATAATAGACCAAGTCACGCTCGGTTGGTGGCTTAAAGAGGGCATACTTGGCACGCAGTGTCTCCACCCAACCACGGGATTCCCGATGCTTCTCTACCACCATCTCCGAAGCACTGTCGTACTTGTCCTTCAAGTAGTCACCAATGGCCCGGAAGTCTGGCTGGGCCCACCAGCATGTTTTAACCTCACAGCTGCCAGACAAGCCATGGCATTTGCATTTTAAATGCATGTGATCCAAGATAGTCTGTGCAAAAGAAAACAAAAAATCAGGCGAGTCAAGCTTTTAGGATTTCCTCTATGCAATTTTCATTAGAACAATTTTGTCCTTGCAGCCTTTTGACCTGCTACTAAAAAGACAAACACATCTGTCCTCTCCTCTAGAGGAGTAACTTTAGTTTGACCAATGATGGTTAATCAAACTGTTAGGGCATTGCACTCTTCAAAATTGTAACAGAACTATGTTATTTTAAGAATTTATAATGAATTGGGATAGCATGAATTTAGGAACATAATACAAAAAAGCATCATTATCCAACTTCATGCTGTCTAGAAGTGTTAAAACTTGAATCATCATCAGACAGCCTGATGCAGGCAGTCATTCCCTTATCATGATAGTTTAAGCAAATGCCTCAGGAATTTTGGATAAGCCAAAATGTAATTGATCTCTTTAACTGGCTAGACCCTTTGCCTGAGTCATCAAATACACACCTATCTACTTTCTTTTTCCTAATCGCCAGATAATGCTACTTCTTAGAAAGCACTATGGGCACACAGTTGAGTTGCTCTCAGGGCAGAGGGTTTTATATGTTTTTCTTCTGTCTCTTGATGGGTCATGAGCTATGGTGACAAGGGGAAGAAGATGACTGAATGGCAGGCCTTGAGTGGCTGCTGCTGATAAGGAGGAAAGGGGGAGAAGTTTCTATCTGCCATTGATTGAGGCCATCAACAGTGCTTTAGTCTGGATCAGAGGGCTGCTGAGATTTGGACTCGTGCTGACCAACTTTCCAGCCGTGGAATCCCCAGGAATGAAGGGCAAAAATGATTTGTTGCCCATTCTTTTTCAGAAGAATCTAAAGAGGCAAACCACTCACCGTTCTTCCAGCTTCGTTATTGTGCCTGTTCATGGCAGAGCGAGCATCTGGACGGTTTTCTCGGGCATCTGCAAACTCTCGTGAGACAAGTACTCCAAAGTCAGCATCTTCACTGCATCCTCCCCATTTCCATCCTTCACCAGGTGGTCCCTTATGGTGTGAGTCACAGCCACAAATAGTTGAAGTACCTTCAGCACATGAGCGTGTGACGGCAAATGCTACACCAGCAGAGGCAATGGCATGCACAAAAGCTGATTCTCGTGTAGCTGCAAAAGAAGGTGGAAAGACCCCATTTATTTAGTTACGCTCAATGATCAAAACTATTCCATGGTATAACAAAAATATGGGAATATGAATAATTAAAAACTAAAGTAATTCAATTTGTAACTACATAGCACCAGAAATCCCATGTTAATTCCAGCATTACACTGAAGTGATCCTCACATTCTATGAACAGAATTTAGCAATTGTCTTGCTTATTTCAGACATGAAAACATTTTTCTCCTGGGCCAATTGAAGCTCTTAAGTAGCAAATATGTTATTAGGACAGAGCACAAGGATAGTATGTGGGACAATGCAGCAAAACATGAGAAAGTGATTTAGCTGATCTCTCCAGAATGACATAAAAAATATTTGACCTCTACAATTGTGGCTGGCATAGTATTAAGGTGATCCAGTGAATATGTTCTGTGCAAAACAGAATCATAGTTGGTTACAATAAACAATCTCCTGCAAATAATTGGATCAATCATTTACATTTACAGCCTTAAATGTCTGTGTACATTTTCACATACGTGTGCATGACTGCCCTTTCTATTTTTGGCTGGTTTTGTAGTTTCATTAATTTTAATAAAGTACCAGCTGAGTTGCCTTGATACACTGCATTAAGCCAGAGCCTAAACCATAAATCAGGAAAAGCACCCCTTTTAAAAGAGGAAGAGAAGAAAAGGGAGAAGACGCGGACTATCATTCTGCCCATTCTGACTTGGTTTTGAAGAGTCTTGAGGTTAGTTTTTAAAATAGTGGCATTTATAATTTAAACAATTGTTCCCAGCAAACATTTGAACAGGACAGTAAGTAATGCAGTAATACCAAGGGGAGGCTCCCGTGAGGTAAATGGTTCTTCTGTCTCTGAAAAGGAAGAGTAATGGGAGAATGCAACTGCTTTTCATTAGGCAGAGCTCTAGGATTCGCAGTTTGGGAATGAACCAGAGTAACTGGATCTGGGATGCTATCTTCAAAGTGGGAATCCAGAGGGTAATTTAAAACTGTCCTGGAGCCTGTGTATATAGAAGAATCAGCCCACATCCCACTGACCCCCTCTCAATTATACCCTGGAATTCTCTTGTAGATGGGAAGAGGGGGCTGGGGGTGGCTGGGAGAGGTTTCCCAGTGATACAACTGAAGTTCTCAGAGGCATCAAGGGGGCAAGGGGGGAGCAGAGCTTGGGTGGATTAGGGACTCTTGACAGAGCTTCACTGTCATGGCCTCCTATCCAGACCCTGTTACCTGCTGGGACACTCGATTTGCCATTGTTTGTGGAGTGTCACACTGTATTACCCACATAATGTGGAATGTTTCCGCCAGGCGCAGTGGTGCCCATGCTGGCATTCTCTGCGGCCACCCCTTGGCAACGGGGCCTGTACTCACCCTGCCCTGCCATCCCCCTGAGAGCCCACCAGTCAGGCTCGGAAATCTCTATTGAGTCCTCTAATGCTGTTTCTCCCCTCCTGAGCTCTAAGTGGCCAAAGGGCGTGTGAATGGTGCGGGGTTGTGAAGCAGTTCGAGGCCAGGAATGATATCCCTTGCTCTGGTGCACAGTGGGGATTGCAGCTTAGCTCTTTTCTCTTGCCCATAAGCTCATTTTCTCTCCCTCCCCACCGACTGTGCTGCCTTGAAATCTCTGCCATTTAGATCCCAGCTCCTCTTTAAATGCAAATTTGTCATCTGTGTCACAGCTGAAAAACACTGCTGGGTTATCACAATGCTGTAGGCCATTTGCAGCCTGCAAAGCCAAGCAGTCTCTCTTCTTTTCTCAAAACACAGAAGCCCTGGAGATACAGGTTTTGTTGTACTTATTTGTTCCACAGAAATATGGGCAGGCTCCTTTCCTCAATTTGTTATGGAATTCTAAAACAATTATCTGTAAAAATAGGTTACACATTTTAACCTCTCTGCATACCATGTGACTCAAGTGTTTGTTTTTTTTCATATACCCCACCCACAACCCAACCCTTTCACCTGTCTTTTTACTTAGGCTGAGCATTTTCTGAGGAGAGAATCCTGTGTAGGGCTCACATATTTGCCGGTTGCCCTATACAAAACAAATCATCATACAGTGGGAAAAAAGTCACATGTGCATTCAAAGATTTGTGCTATTTAGTTATTTATATCAACATAACTTTATTGCACAGAGAAACATATGCATATCAATCTGAACCTCCACGCTAAAGTAAATTTACCCTTTTAGTGAAAAACAAGTCATCAACACAGGAAGTTCTTAAGATGCCAATCAGTTATTGGTGTACTAAGCAGGCTGCGTTGCTCAGCCTTTTTCTTCTGGATTCAAAGCCCAGAACAATTCTTGCTGCATTGCTAGATTTTCAGATCAGATGGATGCTTGTCTTAATGAAAAGAGTGTAACTAAATAGGAGCTCCTTATTCAGCCAAAACAAAACAAGTAATGTATGTCTATTAAATATAGCTAATTTACTATCTCAGATCTTGTAATTAGCAACAGTCATATAATGATGACATACATAATAGTTTCTGGATGTGATCCTGTAGAAGTCCTGCTTTTTAATGTTTGAAATAATGGTCCTCATAGTTATTTCGGTGTAGTGTTAAGGCATTGGCCTAAAAACCAAGAGATTGTGGATTTTAGTCCCATCTTAGGCACAAAGCCAGCTGGTGATTTTGGGCCAGTCATTCACTCTTCATCTAGGAAATGGCAAGCCAATTTTCGAAAAAGCTTACCAAGAAAATTTCCCTAAGCAGTCACCAGAAGTCAAAACACTGACTTGGAGGTATGTTTTGTATCTGTGTAAAAACAAGTAAATCATTTAATATTGCTTCTGAAAAAATGTAAGTTCTTAGTGCTTACATGATTTTGCCAAAAAAACTAATATGGATATGTTTATTTAGTGATTGGCATTTAATATATATTTTATTCAAAATAGTAGTGCTACTTTTGTATAGGATTATTTCTTTTTTAATATGAAAGATATATGCACATTTTCCTTCTCTTTACATGTAAAGAAAATTTAAAATGAGTTGTATTTATCATGCAAAAACATGGCATTTCTGCAGCCCTTCTGTTTCACTTGATTGGGACTTACTACATGAAATAATAATTATAGAACTACAATTATTATTTGTGTTTATTAGTGAAAAACAGTTCAAAGAACAAACAAAGCGAATCACATATTTGAAATTCGAGTTCCAGCCAGAAACCTAAGAATTAGGCAAGTAACATCATAAAATGTAATGTGTGCTCATTCTAAGTGTTTTTTAAAATTCACAATTGATAAAGCCAAAATATTTAGTTGTCAAACATTTGCTTAATTATAAAAGTTTGCTTAATTTACCTATTTCTATCATCAGAGCTCTATAGTTTACAATTTTTGCTCTGTTCTTCTACCATCCCCTTCCTCAAGTTATTGCCATATCTATAAAAATTACTGCTATCTTTTCCATTGCTTTATATATAGTGCATCATAGTGTTCTAGATGGTGATTAGTTTCTGTGTGAAAATCCCACACTTTTAAAATACCCTTTTCATTAATTTTTTTTAGTTGTCTAAAGAAAATATATTCAGTAAACTCAGAAATTTTAACAAATAATAAAGCCTCATTCTTTGGGCCTTGCAATTCCTAATAATTTTCTCTGGACTGCTGGTATACAAATGAAGTGCAATTACATTCTCACAAAATGGTAAGTTCTTACAAGTAAGACTATTTTATTTTAAGATACAGTATCTCAGTTACTTCCCAGTTGGGAATGTAGATTGGAGGGCATTGGAGGAAAAAAGAAGAAGAAACCTTGGAGTTATACTTGCGCTTACTTTGAGAGACTTTTTTCTGGTTTACTCAGTAACTGAATAATAGGCTTCTCTCTCTCCCTATGAAAATATATTTGGGAATATCTTACCATCCTCTTAATAATTGTTTCCCTGACATATACAGTATATTTCCTTTAATTTGTTTAGGACTATAATTTGCTACAGTGTGGAACTGAATTCACATAAAGCATTATAATTCAGTTTATAGAATTCATATTAAGATTTTAATATGACCCAAGCATGAACATATGCAACTATTTTAAAAGAGTCTGAGTGCATAAATTACACTATGTCATAACAATGTTTTGGTTTTAGTATAAGCCATTTGTGGTTTACAACCCAATATTTATGATCTAGCATGCAGAATTAATTAAAATCACAATGACTTATTCAACCAAGGGTAAGGAAGTAAACTATGGCTAATCACAATATGTGAATATTGGGAGGGGTTTTTTTTTCTTATTCTCATCTAACCATTTTTTGCTCTGATGAAATTGATTCTCCCAATGTCAGAGCCTTTCCCAGTCCTGACCCCCACAACATTCCTAATACTTAGAGAACACAGAAACTAATATTCCAGCATGTAAAATATATTGCCTAATGTTCTGCCCTCTTCCCCCACCCCCACCCCCAGCATACCATGTGTTATACCTTTATCTAGAACAGGCCCAAAAATAGCCAAGCTGTCATCAATGGTGGTGCAATTCCAACGTCTCCCCCGGAACTGATGCTGGCACTCTTGAATTCCCAACTTCACACCTTCAGCCACACTAGGCATGATCTCAATGTAGTTTCGGCAGAAGCGAAGCTGCTTAGGCACTAAGCCAGGAATTGAACCACAGAGAATTGGCTGGGAGCCCAGGGATGTATATTGGTGGCCTAATGCAAGGGACCTGCATGGAGAGAATAGATACAGTCTATAGCTGAAAGTGTACTGGGCCTCCAACATGTCAAGTTCCACCAATTTATGTTTGTCCAAAGTGGATCTCACATAATAATTAATTCATAAGTTCTTCTCTTGAAATTTACAATGATTACTACATTTTCTTCTAGATAAACTCAGAAATGATTGGTTTATCTGTAGTGTAGATATGTTAGTCAAATGCTTCCTTCTTCAACTATTTCTACTCAAGATTTGTTAATTTATTTTTGCATAATATTGAAACATTCTAGCATAGAATCGGTAATTTACATACTGATCTAGGATAACTTGTTTAAAAGATCTCAGTTGTCTTTTAACTTTCTTTTTCAAATGAGTAATGTTTTTTCTGCAATAAGGAAGTAAGCAATATGTGGTTTTCAATATATTGTTGAAAATAGCTCCTATCATTCCTTACCGTTGGTTGTATTAAATAACACTGGAATTCAACAACTTATGGATTACATTGATTGTCTTTGCAAACATAACCCATTCGAGGTAGGCAGACAATTAATTGATTAATTAATAATTTATTCTGCTGAAAATGTTTTTTTTCCTGAAAAATTCTTTAAAATGAATAAAATTATGAAAGGCAGGAAAGGAGAAATAGGAACTGATCTTGTTGATTGGAAACAAGCAATAATAAATAAAATAAAATGAGACAAATTTGGAAAATAAAATTAAAGATGCAATGATAGATATCATAGAAGAGTCAGAAAAATAGAATATTCATATTCATAGTTAGAAAAAAATATAACTGCATAAATTGTGTATGATTTGGTTTACATGTTGAATGTTCTTGTTTGAATAAATCCAGACAGGAAACCAGGATATTTTAACACAAAATGGCCAGAAAAATTACCTTATGTTAAATCCCAGGCTGTGCTTCTGTTAATATGTTTGAAACAGATTCTGGGCAAAAGTTCCCATTTAATTTTACATCACTTACTTATAATAGCATTATCCAATCCACATTGGCTAAATGTGTTGGGATTTGGAAATATCCCAATTTGGCTGGGATAAAATTTATATTTGATGCCAATGCTATGCCTGCTGAACTTCACAGTCAGATAAGCATTAATTCTGCATAAGTGGTTCATGCCAAAAAATAATTATCAAAAAACTATTACAGCATGGCATAAAGTTCAAAGTGCTCTCTCTCTCTTAGACATCTTAAATTCCATCATTCAAAATATTTCTCTTAAAACCTGGAGGCACCCTTTCTGAAGAATTATAAGATGTTACTTTTGAATGAGATAACTGTTATCTCTTTTTTGATTCATGGTTTGCCCCATTAATGAATATAATTTTATTTGTTAGATTTATATTCTGCCCCTTCCCCAGGAGCAAAATGTGTCTTATCTAAGAATCTCCTTTCATTTTATTCCTATCACAAAGATTCTGCAAGATGGATTGGGCTGAGACTGAGTGAGGTCCTGTGGCTGAAGGGAGACTTTTACCAGCCATAATCCAACACCGTAATCACAATGTCTCATTCGTTCTCAATGGATACTATTAACACCACTAAATTATATTTTTAGCCTTACTACGAAATCAACATATTAATCTGCTTATCTTTAGGACTTATTTTTTAACTTGCTTAAATTTTCTTATTTGCACAGATGTAAGCAGAAAATATTAGAATTGCACATTCATTTCATTTCACATCATTTCACATCATATGATATGATGGCAAAGTTCAGGAAGTTCAGGTACTTTAGAAAATCTCTTTGTGAAGCCAGAGGATTCCCCCCCTCCTCATCAATCCTCTAGAATGCATTAGGGGTCTTGTAATTCATATCCTTCACCTCTTTTTCTGCTGCCAAAATATAGACTATAAATTCTGCTTTCTCCCTGTGGAAATATTCTTTTCCCTACACATACAGGTGGTCCTTGACTTATGACCACAATTGAGTCCAAAATTTATATTGATAAGCAAAACAATTTTACAACCATTCTTGTTGCAGTTGTTAAGTGAATCACTGCAGTTGTTAAGTTAGTAACATGTTTGTTAAGTGAATCTGGCTTCACCATTGACTTTGCTTGTTAGGAGGTTGCAAAAAGTGATCAGATGACCCTGGGACACAGCAACTATCATAAATATTAGTTAGCAAGCAAGTGAATTTTGATGACATGAACATGGGAAGGCTGCAACTGACATAATTGTAAAAAATGATGATACATAACTTTTTTCAATGCTGTTTTGCTTTGAACAGTCACTAAATGAACTGTTGTAAGTTGAGGACTACCTGTACTGTACATTTTTATTGATCTGTAAAGGCCCCAGTGTATGGTGATGGCATTACTACTTAAGCCTAGTAAGGTGCTGCTTTCCTAACTACATGGCTGGTAAGTTCATAGTAACAAACCTGCTGTATTAGGGTGTTCTTTGGAGCACAATGAATATTGTGTTTAAATATTTGAAAAAGTCATATTGTTAGTTGTTTAAAAAGGATGAATGTTTAGAAGTTGGGCTGGTCAGTTTTCTTGCAAAAGGAGCTATCCAAGAAAAAGTGCTGAATCTTGAGTTTCTGGGGTTTAGTACCTGCAGACGAATTTTATTATCTTGATGTGCTGCATGGTCTGACCTAGCAATGCCTTTGTGACTTATGATCAATTTAATGCCATCAACTCTGTTTTCTGATTCAATCTTTCCTACCCAGATAATATGATATGTGATGAATTGTAATTTGTGTCCTCTCTGGTCAACATAGATTTTTAGATCTGTCATCCAAATCCCAAAAGCATTAGGCAACAACTGTATAACAAATGGATGGAGTGGTGAGAAGGGTCTCTCTAAACCTATTATAAATTCAAACCTAGAACAATAGGGAAAATAGTAAAATAAATAATTAAAAAAGAAAATTAATAATCTCACCACCTACATTTGGAAAGAAACATGTAATCTTGTTTGCAGGTAGAAGACTAAAATATCATAAGCCTGATTTATATTGAGAAACATTAATCACTCCTCAATAAAGGATGGATATCCAGCTGTTGACAATCATTTGTATTTCCAAATGTTATCAAATATGTTGGATGCAGTTGGGTTTGTGATAATCAAAGAGGTGCAATTCTTTGAGGGCTCTTGGACAATTTGAAAGGTTGACCCCATGTCCTCAATGCTTGCTGCTAGTAAGGAGGGTCTTGTCTATTCACTAACGGGCTCCCCATATAAGCATGGCCAGTCAATACCCATTTAGCAGAGAACATTGGGGATATTGATCGTTAGCCAATATCCTAGCTCTTTCATTGCCTAAGAATGGAGTCCAGTGGCATTTTCAGAAAACTAAGTGCTAGAAAATAACACTTTACCTTTCAGCCAATCTTTAAATGGCACCTTTCTATTATTTTTTCCATATTCAAAGAGTCTATCCAAAATTAAAATCAATTATTAGCAAACCAAGAGTGTTATGTAGTGCCTATTAAAGAAATATTGATTATTCCTATCTTACACTTCTACTCAAAAAGATATTGGAAAAAAGGGGGGTTGGGGGGGCTATCCGCAGTATTCTAATTTGGGATGAGCAGGTGTCAGTCCTTCCAGGCAGTCCAGATAAGTAACCAAAATCATAAATACTAATACTTACCTTTATTGTAAGGTTGCAGTAACAGAAACATGCAAGTCTGAAAGCCCTTCTCCCCTTCCTTGCCTTAATTCCAGAGAAATAGAAAGAGTCCCTTCTGAGATGTTTTTTCTGCCCCCATTTCTTCTGTGGGCTGAGATATTTCTTGTCTGGCCACTGCTGAGTCTGTAGCTCCTTTTCCTCCTGTTTCCTAACATTACTTTCACAGCCCATTATAGCAGGTCATTCCCCATTTGCTACATAAATATAAAATGAATTGTTCTGTTTCATTTTCATGTTTTACATGCCAGTACTATCACCTGAGAACCAATACAACATCATAAGTTTATTGTCCTTTGACCAGAATCAGTAATGTAGAATTAATGGCTTAGCTTCACAGCTTCTTGCCTGAATCACTAGTTCTCAGCATGTTCCACAGGATTACTACAGGGGAGGGAAATGGAAAAATGCATCCTGCAGCTTCTTGAAGGAAAGGAGGGATGCAGTCATGATAAATTATCCACTCCACTCACTTGTATTGCTGGTTCTGAATTGCTTTTGCTCCTTGCTTCCTTTGGAGGTAAATACATGTAGGCAGCTACAAACAGGCAAAGCACTCAGCCCTCCATTCTCCATAATCCACATGGTTTCCAACAAAGAAACAGAAAAACCAAGAACTCAGACAGAGACACGCCACATTAAAGAGTCCCAGGAACTCACGAGAGCTAGTTTGGTATAGTGGTTGAGGCAACAGGATAGAAACCAGTAGACTAATCCCGCCTTAGGTGTGAGAACCAGCTGGGTGGCTTTGCACCAATCATTCGCTCTCAGCCAAATTCACTTCACAAGATTGTAATTGTGGAGAAAAATAGGAGGAAGAAGAGTCATTATCTTTGTTTGCCACTTGAGTTATTTATAAAAACAATAAAGGTGGGAGATAAATAAATTGATACTATGGTCGGAGAGCTGTATTAGTCTATGGAAGCCATATGTCAGAAGGAATTTGATAGCACCTTTTCAGATTAAATGTTTTATTAGCATATTTTTGTGAACTATAATTCACAGACCATCAGATGCATGGTGTAATTAGGTTGTGAAAGCTTATAATTTTTAATGTGCTAGTCTGAAAGGTTATAACATATTCCTGATTTTCAATAAACAAACAGGCATTTAATTTCATTACACAAAGATCTTTCTCCAATTCCTAGCAAATACTTGGGCAAAAAACATACCACACAAAAAATAGAAAACAGATGGCTCAGATACCCCAAAGTTGATAGAATATTTGGAGTAGTATGGCTAGCAATATTATGGGTGCCTGAAAAACAAGTTAGGAACAAGCCAAACAAACCTTGTTGACTTGATTATATGTATGATATAGCTGATCATGGCTAAGATATTATCTGTT